TGGAATGGATTAAAGAAATTCTAAAGGCAAATGTGAAATTAAGAAAAATATCTTTTCTGAATTCAAAATGATCTGTTTTTATTTATATTACATACATTCTGACTAATGTACTCATCTTTGTTATTATAACAATATTTCAACAACAGTTCCCTTTGGCCTTCTTCAGATATCCTTCAGATAACCTCCAGGGAATTTTGAACTGAACCCTTTATTTATAAATGGGAAGAAGACTGTTTTCGGTCTGCTATTCATGTTTACAAATACCTTTTGTTGTTTTAGTACTGCTCAAGTATTGTTTGCTCATTTCCACTCAGTCTGTAGTGCCCAGCACTGGGATTAAACTCACAATTACTATGCTACCAAATTTGTGAAGCAATATTTTAAAACAATACAACATCAACAGGTCAATAGCCAAGTGGATTAAAGAATTGGTTTGTAAATTTGGTAATATAGAAATTGTGAGTTCAATCCCTGGGTCGAGCAGTGTGTACTTGGACTAAGTAGAAACAGGGTGAGCAATAACTTTTAAATAAAGAACAAGATATTTGTAGACATGGACAGCAAAATGAGAACAGTCTACCCTCTAGATTAAATCAGGGGTTGGTTCGAAATTCTCTGAAGTTCACAAGGAAAAAGGCTGCAAAGCCCAATGATGAAAACGATTGTGATAACAGCAACAAAACTGCAGACATTAGTTCAGATGTACATAATGATAACTGCTCATCCCAGAAATTCAGGCAGAAATAAAATTTTAGTTCTTGATAAAAATATCAAGAAAAGTTTTACTTATAGAAGAATTCTGTTGCTACTATGTTTATCTATCTCTTCCTGCTTGACTGATTTATTTTTATGACTTATCAACCCTTTGTGGGTTATTTAAAGCTGAAGGAAACACAATAGAGTGATGGGTTGTGGCTCGGATTGAAAGACAAGATTGAATTCAAGTTGAGTTCATTAGATTCACTTACATGCTAATACCCTTGGGAGATGTATTAATCCAACTCATCTTGCCCCACCTATGGGTAAATAATAGGACAAACCTCTATAGCCCTGGGGATCAACCAATCTAGTTGAAGAAAAACTCTGAATTTGAAACTACATATAACCCCAGTGAAGCACATACTATGCAGCTAAGGAAAGGATTGATTGCATTGACTCATTGATCCTGACTACAGTTGATGCCTAATGTCTTTGGATATCTCAGCTTTAGTTAATTTCCCTCAACAAACTCTTCAAGTTTTTGCTCTCTCTGCTGTGTCCAGGGATTGAACTCACAAGTCTTTGGGTCAATCACTTTTTGGATCAATCAACCAACACTTTTATCCACTGGGCCATGGAATTAGAACAATCTACTCCCATGGACTAAGAGGGTTCGGTTAGAAATTTTAACAAATATCACCCGAAGAAGGCCGGAGTGTACAGTGGCTGAAACATTGTGAATATGGCAATAAAGATGAGGACAATAGTTCAAAGAATGAAATACAATAACTCATCTCAGAAATACAGACAGAAGTATTTTTTCTGTAGAACAAAATAAAGAGATAAGACCAATTATATTTTTGTTAAAGGTTAAAGTAATAAGAGAGAGTTAAAATTTTTTCTTAAATTGGCCATATAAAATTTTATGATGTAGGGATGCAAAATCTAATTATCTCTCTTTGGTTAAGATGAAGTCATGAAGGTCATGTGACAGCCAGTAAGGGATGTGAGTTTGTGGTGTGACAAAAAGGAGTTGCTATTTAGCACACATAGGGACAAGACATGTCTGCCCATACCAGTTGCTGCTGATAGACCTCTAAGGCACTCTCAATCCCATAGTGGTAAGGAGAACAGAAGAGCACACATGGTATCTCAGAGTTCACTAAACATACCACTAGCCTGTCAGTTTTCCCTTAAGGAAATATTACAAGTAAGTCCCTCTAGCTTCTTGTCTTTCGACTCTGCTTGTTTTATTCATATTGTGTGATAAATAAGTTGCCACTATCGTCTACATAAAAAGCAAAGAGGGGGAGAGCTGTTAACTATGCTGACTCTTGAACAACTTGGCTAAAAAATTTCTGAGGATATTAAATTCCCACTCCTCAGCTTAATGTATGTGTTCTAAGCAATAGCAGGCTTGTCTCCCTTCCTGCCAAAGTGGATTTAACCATTAAGCATTAACTTTATTGAAATTTCTCTTCAGGGTGAAATTTTCCAATTTTTTGGTGAAGCGCTGTCACTCTGTTTATTGATCAAGATCCTGTTTTAATATCTGCAGAGTGTAGTTTTCAATAATGCATGTTTGTCATTTCTTTCTTTCAGTTCTGTCCATGGTATTAAGGTGTTACTATATCATGCATATAATAATGCATAGAATTGTTAAATGTAAACTGGAAATATTTTTTCTTAACTAGCACCCATTAATGAGCAAAATAATTCAAATCACTATTTTTATTCAGAAATAATCAAGTCAATGGCTGCTGATTTTTATTCTTTTCAAATATGTCATCATCTGTTGTGTAGCCCCCTCATTCTACAGGTCCTTTAGTTGATGGAATTGATTTCACAACAAAGCAGCATTCTTCTCTCTCGGACGGGTGATCGCTAGTTGGTTTATTTGGAGGTAAAATGAGGACTTCAACAAAAGGGATTTTAAACTAATCTATATTATTAAACATGTCAACGTGTACATCTTCTAACTAGACAGTGGGGTTGCGATCCTACCTCACTGGGGAGCAGTTTCCATCCATAAAAATAACACATCTGCATTCTTTGATGTGCAAAACTTAACTCCTTGAAATCACTTTCTATCTAACATTCCCACATTTGGCTCAGTCAATCAAAATCAACATCCCTATTTTGTCTACCATCTGACCATAAAGGTTAGCCTCAGAAAGTCTGAGCCAAAATACACTGCCACTAAAAATGAATAGTCTGAAACTATTATTTAAACACTTCCACACACAAGTAAAGTGTATTATAAGAATGCTTCAAGCCATATATATATATATATATATATATATATATATATATATATATATATATATATATATATATTTTTCCTTACCAGTAGCATGACACTTATTCAACCATGGGGTTGAATGAGACTGACAAATTATATTTTTGTTGGTTGAAATAAACTTATTCCCCATATGAGGTGATTTTGGATTTTATTATTTGCTCTATAATAATAAATACATTGAGCTCTTTTTGTGAATCAGTTTTAATATTTTATATTACAAGGATCCACTTGGATTATATACCAATGGATTTACTACCTTTACTATATATATATATATATATAAAAACTAAAAAAACATCTTGTGGACTATTTAAAATTATCTTGGTGGGATGTTTGGGATTACCTTGATTACTGTGGCTGACTAGTCTTGCTTTTTATACTTATTTATTTGTTTTGACTAATTATTTTCTTAAATTTGTTTCTTTTTCATGACAGCACCTTTAACAATTTAGATATACAACCTAAATTTAACTTCAAATCATAAATGATATTTTCTTATGACAATATTTAAACTAAATTAAATGATACAGTTAAAGAAAATTAAAAATACCAATATGGTGAAAAATCCCCAAATTTTATTTAATGTTTTTCATTGAACAAAATTTTGGTTTGTATTTTTTAAAATTCTTTTTGTTGGTTAAAGAGTATGCAGTGTATATAATTTGATGGGAGATGCAGTTTGACTTTTTCCTGTATTTTTGTCTATGGTGAGGATTCAGATGAGGTCATAGTAATTTTGGAGGAATTTTAGACTCAGAATTCTTTCCTTTCATGCTTTGAAAGTAGACAACACAAATATGACTAAGTGTGAGGTTCAAATAATTATAACTGTTTTAAAAGTTAGAACAGTCAGACATATTTGTTATCTGACCGACGACTAAATTGTAAACCAAATCAAACCTTTCTTATGGAAACGAGAATAATACAGAAATAATCTTATAATTTTAAAACTCTGAGATAATATAAATAGAAATCTTTCTGGTTTCATTTCTTTAATGCTTGGTTATTATTTTGAAGAACTTGAAGAATATGGTTAGCATTCAGAAGAACTTAAATATCATGAGAAAACAAACAAAAAAGAAAAAAATATAACCAAAAAATGAGAAAGTGGAAATCTTTTTGTTTTCTGTCTTTTTAATGGTTAGCTATTTGGAAAAAAAATTAAAATATAAACAAAGTTGTTGATAAAAAAGAAAGAGAAAAAAAAGGAAAATCTTGACATACAAATAATGTTTCTTCATATTTTTATTTTTTTTTAAAGAAGAACCAAAAAATAAATATTTTCTTTTTTTTCTTTTCATCATCACAGCCTCTGTGTAGATTTGTAAATATATCTTAGTTTTATCTTCCAAATAACTTGTTTACTGAAATAAACTCTCTAACATAAAATCTCCCTGGATTCAGAAATGATAAATTTTAAAGATTTTTTTTTTTTTTTTAAAATAGAAATTAATTTTTTTAAACCACTGCTAAGTTTTTTAGCTGACACAAGATTTAGAGCACCCTTAATTTTCCATTTAATAATTTTTTTAAATTTAAAATTAATATTCAGTTCTTTTAATGTAGGTATGGAAATATAAGAAAAAATGAAATCAAAACCCAATTTAAAAAAAAACAAAAAACAATTCCCCTCTCTCAACCAAAAATTTAAACACAGAAAACCATAACTTGTAAGTGACAAAAACAATCTGTAACTGTAGTAATACTTGATGAAACAGGTTCTTTGAATGGGTTCATTTTTTTGGTAATTTTTCATAATTTCCTTTTCGCTTTGCTTTTATGTTAAATTGCATTCTGCTGCAGTTACCATTACTGGAATCAAGTATCATCTACCTGAGCCATGTGGTAACCACAGCAGACATTGGCCAGCCAGGTATGGACGTATTTGACCAAGAGGGTCACTTATCGGATAAACTTAAGAACCAGCCTCAAAAATATGTGGACAAGTTTCACTTTGGGATTAAGAACACTACAATACCAGTTGCAATTTTTGTTGTCTCTATACTGCGGTCTCCTGATCTTCAGACACAACCAGCTGAAAGTGTTCTTTACCTGAAAAAATCAAAGATAAAAGAAAAGAATATTAGAACTGGAAGACATTTTTTTTTTTTAAATTGGTATCACCCTCAAGCGAGGCAGTACAGCTACTAGCATGCATGGGGTTATAGGGTGTGGAGGAATTAGGAACAGAAACTTTAGTAATGAGCTGGAAGAGGAAAGAGTAATCAGGAGGACAGTAGATAGCGATTGACAATACATTTAAATATTTGAAGATTAAAATTGGTTGTAAAGCATGGAGTCAGAAGAGAGTTCCACAGACAAGGCAGTAAAGCCACTAAGACAAAAGGGGTTACAGGGTGTGGAAGAATTAGGAACAGAAACATTAATAATGAGCAGGAAGAGGAAAGAGCAATCAGGAGGACAGTAGATAGAAATTGGCATTGCATTTAAATTCTTTTCAGATTAACGTTGGTTGGAAAGTGTTATGGTAATTTACTCATGCACACATGGACTCTTCCAGCTATAAATAGAAGCAGGTACTGCCTTTTAGAGGAGGGTAGTTTCCAGCAGTCAGATCTGATTGTCGGACCGAACATTCTTGCTGTAACACACTTGTTTTTATTACTGTTTCTGTCAGTATATTTGTTTAACTCATTTCCTCTCTTGTGTCTTTATTTCTGGCACAAACAAGGTCACAACACAAACAAAACCTGTCAAAAGGTGAATGAACTTTCTTGTAGTGTCAACTCGCCATCTGGCACAATGCTGTTGTCATATATGCAGTCGATGTGGTGCTAATGTGTAATTAGTTGGGCAGAGAGCTTCCTATACTGAAGTCAGTAGGCATGTTCGAGGATTCCACCAATCAAATCAATGCTAATTCAATTGGTGGAATCCCTCCAACATGTCCAAATAAACCTTCAAGTTGGAGCATATTGGCTGCAGTTTGACCTGGAGAAATGGGCTTTACCGTTATACTTGCTGTAGATACAAATCAAAGGCTTTACCCTCAATATTTGGGGTGAACTGGTGAAGTGCTCAGTTGTGCAGTGATCCTACAACCACACCCAGTCATGGAACTGATGATAATGATAAAGAAAATAATTATTAGAATTAATAATTAAACTGCTTCCCCGACTAGGCTTTATCTGTGAGGAGGGTAGATTGGCACCCACCAGGATTACAAACTGTTATGGTAATTTACCCATGCATGCAGGATTCTCCCAGCTATAAATAAGAGCAGGTGCTGCCTTTTAGAGGAGGGTAGTTTCCAGCAGTCAGCTCTGATTGTCGGATTGAACATTCTTGCTGAAACACTCTGGTTTGTATTACTGTTTTTCTGTTAATATATTTGTTTAACTCAATTCCTCTTTTGTGTCTTTATATCTGACCCTAACTAGTCCACAACGGAAAGTATGCAACCTGGAGGCAGTTCCACAAGTGAGAAGTGTGAAGTAAAAAAACTGTTAGCATACAAGTTACTCAGTAAAATTATCTTAATATTGTATTGAAACAAGATTTAGTTCCATTTTCAATGAATCTGAATCTTTACTACTCAGCACAGGGATTGAACTCATAATTACTATGCTATCAGTGTCATTGTCCAATAATGGATAAGAGTTTAAAAGAACAAAATATTGTCTTTTAATTTTTCATAAATTTTTACGGTCATGTATATTGGCATAAGTCATATACAATAAGTCAACATACAAGAGCATAAAAACTAAGACAAAATGGTTGACACAAGGTCTTTAAATATTTCAAATAAACAAATACATAATTAAACAAAATACATAGAAATAAATAACAATTACATTATAAAATAAAAATATAAAATAGGTGAATAAAAATTCAACAAAAAACATTTACTCACTTTTGTTTATTAGAAAATTACTTAGCATCCTCCATAGAGGATTTACCTTTCTTTATACTTGATGACAGATTTTAGATTTTAATCTGTACTACCCAACACAGTGATTCAACTCGTAATTACTATGCTACCAGCGTTTTAAACTTTTAACTTATTGTCCAATACTGCATAAAAATTGCAAAGAATAAATTACTTTCTTTAAAAACTATTTTTATAAATTTCACCTTGTAGTCCCCAAGTAGTCACCCATCTAAGTACTGACTAGGCTTGATGCTGCTTAACTTTGAGATTGTACAGGAACCAAGTTCTTCCGAAATAGAGACCAGTAAAGTAACAATTTGCAAAGTCTTTGCTGATCGCAACAAAAGATTTTCCACCTCTCCAAAAGGTAACAAAGCAAAATGGTGAGAACTTCAGGCAGATATTCAGAATTGAATGAAGTCAAACTTTTAATTTAATTAAATATAAATTAAATTATTTTAAACAATGCAATAAAGAAAGAATTTTGAAGAGATTTATCTTATTTAAAAATTAAGCAAAATTTTTCCTGCTTTGAGCCATCTATGACACATTTTCTACCTGTAAAACCTGGTGCATTTGAAAATTACCAATGATGACAAATGTAGGTGTGGAAATGTTGAAAGCCTATCCTCTCAAATTCCTACCTGGTGTTGGACAGGTATCAACAAAGACGTAAATAATGTCCTCAAAATCATGTGATACCAAAGAGAAGATGGATAAAATAGACAGTGTCAGGAATACATCCTTTTCTTTTAAAGTTTAAACTTTGCTTGGCCATCGATGCATACCATGGCCAAGAGGTTCAAAGCACATCGGATCTAATGATGGTTTCCTTGAGAGGAATGCAGGTTCAAATCCTGCTGGAGAGTGCATATTTTTATCTAAGAAATTTTGAATATTTGTTTTGTTTTACGGCATATAATCCTCAATGGGTTATTTAATGCTGACAAATTTTATTGCTATTAATATATTTTTTTCCCCCAATAATGTATTGTTGGTCATAATTTTTTCCTCAAAAATTTTTTACTGGTAATTTTTTTTACAAAGTATTTCTGGTATTAGAACCTGTTTTTACACTTTCATGGTGTTTTAACCTTAGTTTTTTTTTTTGGGTTAACTATTTGCCCATAGCTAGGACCCTAACAGGTGCTACCACCCTGGATCAGGGTGGACCTGGGAACACCAGCAATTAAGAGGTGGTTCCACACTCCTCAAAACCTCCTGATCAGAGGTCTTGCTGCTGGATATAGTTTATTGTCTTACCCAGTGTTATAGACAAGCGTATGTTTGCAAGAAAGAAATACAACTACAGCAGAAATAGATTTATGTGATTTATTTCAATAGGAATGTGTGGTTTTGGGACAGCTATCTTGTGGTATAGTTCATAAGCCGGCTTCTAATCTGGGTTGATCTCTCATAGTAGTTCTCACTGGTTGGCGTGGCTCTCCTCCTGCTGACTGCTGCTGACTGACTGTGACAGGTCTCTTCCCTGGCCTCCTGTTGACTGCTGTTGTACTTCCCTGTGTGGCCACTTTTATGGCGTTTTTTATGACTTAACAGGCTTGAAAAACGATGCAAGTATAATTAGAAGGGAAGCATTTTTATTGGTCGAAAAAAAGAAACACTTTAAAATATTATTTTATTTTTCGACCGGAACTTGTGCATCGGGCCTATGCGTAAATGACGATAATAGTCATTTTGTGACGGGGCCTTGTCCCGTTCACATCTGGCTCTCGCTCTTGAGTATGTTAGTTTATTTGCCCGCAAATCAGCCGAGATATATATCTTATTTTATAACACCAGGATGCAGATGTAATTTATTGTCATACCCAGGATGGTTTGAATATTCAGGTTGGTAGATGAAAATATATATGGAGGACTATCATGTCATTTTATGATGTATGAGGGTCTGGTAGCTCAGTTCTTAGAACCAAACAGCCAGACTACCTACACATATGGTTTGGTTATAGTGGTGAAGCCTTGTGAAGAATCAACTATATTTTTTGGAAGTGCCAATTACAGAGAACTGGTGCACAGCATGCCACCAGATCCACAAACAACCCCACCTCAGATTCTGTGAGTTGTTTTTCTAGACTGGTTGCCACCCAAGATTACACAACCCAGTTTGTCTTACTATTTAATGGATTCATACATTTCCTTAGGGTATTTGGATGTAAGTGAATGTAATAAACTTGACTGGAATTTGAACTAGGTTCTCTGATTTCTCAATCCAAGCCACTACCCATTATTGCTCCATGCATATATATATATATATATATATATATATACACACAGACACACACAATACAGTTAAAAAATTTGAGGACATCTTTAGTAATACTCAAGGACACATGGTACTGTGGATAAAGGTGTTGGTTAGATCCAGTGACAGGACCCAAAGAGTATGAGTTCAATATGCGGTTAAGGCAGTGGAGAACTTTCAGAGGGGAATTAACAAGGAGATAACTGATAACTGACACCCATTAAACATGGCACATGGAACTAGAACAGTCTACCCCAGTGAGCGAAATAAAGGGTTCAGTTTGACATTCCAACCACTTGAAGAAGGCTGGAGCATACAACGGCTGAAATGTTGTAATAAATATGGCGACAAAGATGAGGACAATAGTCTGAGTAATGTAAATAGTATACATAATACCTCGTCTCAGAAATATAGACAGATACTTCCATCACTGTAGATACACATGTATAAAAGTCTACATTTATAGAGAACATATTATAAAAATATTTTAAATTATAACAGTTTGTTTACCCAACCAATTGTACTTTTTTAATATTTTTTAATATGTATATATATATATATATATATATATATATTTGTTAAATATAACAGAGAATGAATATCTATTATGTTTGATCATGAGCTATTCTAATGTTTGGAGGTTTGCTTTAATTTCAGGTAAAAATAAAGACAAAAATTGTTCAACATTTGAATATTTCTTTTTATTAAGTTGGTCCTTGATTTAAGCTTTCGGCTCACATGAGTCATCTTCAGAGTGGTTATACAGACATTTAAACAAAGATATTCACCATCAAAGATGAAATTTTGTTATGTTGACATAGAAGATGGCTATATGATGATAACAGTTGCGGAATAGCAGATGCTGGTCCTAAGTTCAAGATATGGTTCTATGACATC